TTGAGCTAATATTAATTTAAAATGGTAACTTTTCTAGTGCCAGACTGTTATCAAAATGGGAAGAAACAAGATAAGAAATTGAATTATTTTTTGTTGTTTTTTGATGCCATCGAGTTCGTTCCAACTCATAATGATAAGTACAACAGAATGAAACATTGCCTGATCTTGTGCCATCCTCACAATCATTACTGTGTTTGACCCCTTTGTTGCAGCCACTATGCCAACCCATCAATGAGTCTTCCTTTTTTTTTGCTGACCCTGTACTTTATGAAGCATGATGTCCTTCTCCAGGGACTGTTCTTTCCTGAAAACATGTCCAAACTACCATCTTCATTTCTAAGGAACATTCTGGATATATTTCTTCCAAGACATATCGATACATTTGTTCTTTTGGCAGCACAGGGTATATTCAATATTCAACACCACAATTCAAAGGCATAAATTCTTCTTCAGTCTCCTTTACTCCTTGTCCAGCCTTCACATGTATATGAGGCTATTGAAAATACACACTTTAGTCGTCAAAATGTCATCTTTGCATTTTAACACTTTAAAGAAATGCTTGCAGCACATTTGCCCAATGACATACAGCATTTGGTTTCTTGACTGTTGCATTAATTGTGGATACAAGTAAAATAAAATCTCTGCAACTTCAATCTTTTTTCCATTTATCATGATGTTACTTATTGGTCAAGTTGTGAGGATTTTTGCTTAAGTTGAGGTGGAATCCATACTGAAGAATATAGTCTTTGACTTTCATCAATAAGTGCTTCAAGTCATCTTCACTTTCAGCAAGCAAAGTTGTGTCACGTGCATATTGCGGGTTGTTAATGAGTCTTCCTCCAATCCTGATACTGCATTCCTCTTCATGCAGTCCATCTTGTCAGATTATTTGCTCATCATATAGATTGAATAAATATAGGAAAAGGATACAACCCTGATGTGTATGTTTTTTTTTATTTTAAACCAGGAAATATCCCTTTGTTCTATTTGAATGACTGCCTCTTGGTCTATGTTCCATAATTGTACTGAAAAAGGAATTGAAATGTTTAAATATACGTAAAACTAGCTTTTTTTTATTTTTCTTAAATGGTAGATTTTTATGGACAGGAATTTAATTTCCCCTTGCTTTTGTAGAGAAATACTTGACTACAGTAATGATCAACAACAACAACAACAATAACAACAACAAAAGAGACGAAGACTTCTGGTAAGATGGAGGAATAGGCAGACAAGCAACGCAGACCCTCTTCAACAAAGAAAAGAAAAACCAATTAACAGAGATACAGAAGATAATCCTGGAACTCTGAGCTTTGAAAGGAACTATACAGAAGTGGATTAGGTGCCAACTAGTGGAAAAACCTGAACAAAAACAATGAGTACAGAGATGATTGGAGCTGCAGACTGGTAGCTACTCTGACGAGACCAACAGCCTGAATATTTCCAAGTGATGTTGGGACCTGAGAATTGAGCTAAAGATCAGTCCCAGTCACCAAGGGCTTCAGGGACAACTGCTCTGGTGGCCTATGACTAAGAAGGGAAACAACAAGGAAGGAGACAACCTAAGCTGTGGACTTCCTGCTGTCCAAAGGGCACAGCCGTTTTGATTGTTTACATGTGGCAGCCATTTTGGATATTTAAAGTGACTGACGGTGCAGCCATTTGGAATGTTTACAAGTGGCAACCATTTTGGATTTCAAAGTGGTAGCATTTCATTCGGATTCCAGGGAACTAAGAACAGGCTCTGACTTCCAGAGTTGGCAAGGACATAAAAGAGGCTGACAAAGGAAAGGAGACAGGTGGTGAGTATATAAGTGCTGTCAACTAGTGAATAGAGGAGCACAACATAGTACCTTACCTGTATAGATAACATACAAAGAAAACAAAAATTGTGGCAAGTCACTCCAACATATAATCACCAATTAAATATAAACACAAAAATGTCACAATGCCTTGGAGACAACAGAGCATCACAGTCCACACAAAGAAGCAAGATAAAGCAGGAGAAACAAGGGACCAGGATATAGACCCAAAACACAACCCTGAGGAAGACGCAGGATTGGAACTCTCTGATAAGCAATTCAAAAGAATTATATTTAGGTATTTTCAAAGGATTGAGAGACAGACCAAGGAAAACGCAGACAAAACCTTAGAAGAATTTTGGAAGAAAATACAAGAACAAAATGACGAAATAAATGAAAAATTAGAAATGATTCTAAATCTACAGATAGAAATCCAGAAGATTAATACTAAATTGTCAGAAATAGATAACACATTGAAAGGGCAAAGGAGTAGAATTGATGCAATGAAAGACAGAATTAATGAGATTGAAGACAAATACCTGAATACTTTTCTGGAAAGGGATCAATCAGAAAAAAGATCAAAACATAATGAAGAAAGCCTAAGGTTCATGTGGGATACCATCAAAAGGAATAACCTACGTGTCATTCAAATTCCAGAACAGGAAGAGAATAATAAAACCACTGAGAAAATTGTCCAAGATTTGTTGGAGGAGAACTTCCCTGACATGATGAAAGATAAAAATATATCCATTCAGGAAGTCCAATGAACCCAATGAAACAGGATAGACCTCAAAAGAAAAACACAAAGACATATCATCATCAAACTCAACAAAACCAAAGACAAAGAAAGAATCATAGGGCAGCATGGGAAAAACAAAAAGTTACCAATAAGACTAAGCTCGGATTTCTCAACAAAAACCATGCAGGCAAGAAGACAGTGGGATGGTATATATAAAACGCTGAAAAGAGAAAAATTTCCAACCAAGAATTAAGTACCCAGCAAAACTGTCCCTCAAATATGATGGTGAAATTAGGACATTTCCTGATAAGTAGAAATTACAAGAATTTGTTAAAACCAGACCAACCTTACAAGAAATGCTAAAGGGAGCCCTTTGGACATAGAAGCAACAACAGTCTACAACAAATGACCATTAACACACATGATGATATAACCCAGAAACCAACCTAGCTATGGAAGTATCCAAAGTAAATAAGCCTACAAGATTCTAAACAGACACACCAACTGACAAACGAGGATGATTACAAACCAAAAAGAGGGAAAAAAATCTGTGTCATTACAGAACTTCTAGATGGTAGGGAAGTCAAGACAACTACAAGATAGATTGGACTGTTCCAAACTTGGGAAGAAAGCTATAAATCAAAGGGTAACCTCAAAGAAAACTGATAAACCTTCACATCAAAATAAAAAAGAGGACCAGCATAAATATTCAGCAAATACTAAAGCAATAGCAATGAAGGAAGTAACAACATGATTTATAAACAAAACAAGCTCAGCATAGGAAATTATATGGAACAAAGAAATCGACACAATGAAAAAGCACATGACAAAAGTGACAGCAACAAATCATATTTGCTGATAATTACATATCTGGCAAGTGATGGAAAACTCTAATGCCTCGGCACCAAAGGAATTAACAATACAATTGAGAAATGGGCAGAAGACATGAATAGACACTTCACCAAGGAGGACATTCAGGTGGTCAGCTAATACATGAAAAGATGCTCACAATCATTGGTCATCAGGAGATGTAAATCAAAACAACAATGAGATATACTGTTTCACCCCAGCACTGATAGCAAGGTTTAATGAGACAGAAAATAATAAATGCTGGTGGGGATGTGGAGAGATTGGGACTCTCATACACTGTTTGTGTGACTGTGAAGTGACAAAACCACTGTGGAAAGCAATATGGTGATTCCTTAGAAATTTGGAATTGGGAGATACCATTTGACCCAGCAATCCCATTACTAGGTATATATGCTAGAGAGGTGAGCGCCAGGATAGGAACAGATACATGCACACTCATGTTCATCACAACACTACTCACAATATAAAAAAGAAGGAAACGACCTACGTGCCCATCAGTGGAAGAGTGGATGAACAAACTACAGTACATACACATACTGGAATGCTATGCAGCACTAAAGAATGATGTAGAGTTTACAAACACTGCATAATATGGATGAACTTGGAGGACATTATGCTGAGTGAAATAAGTCAGTCACAGAAGGACAAATATAGTATTAGCTCATTGTTGTAGAGCGTCAAGGAAAGGTTTATATATGATTGTAAACTTTGTTGGTTGCCAGGGAGGGGAGGGGAGGGGAAGGAACACTGCAAAAAAAAAAAAATAATAATAATAAAGCATTGACACATGTCACTTTAGTTTTGTCTATTTCACTGTACATAAATTATATTTCAATAAAATGCGTTTTTTTTTAAAAAAGAGAGAGAGAGACAAACCCCATAACAGAATAGTGTAGAGAAACATAAAAGTTAAGAAAAGTAAAAATGGACCAATATTTGAAGAAATTAGGTAAGAGTTGGCCTCAGAAAATTATGTATAAAAGTAATTTTTTATAATTAATAATAATAATCTTTCTGTACTTAAGGGAAAACAAACAAAAAAACAAAAATCCTGATAGATGGGTTTTCCATCCATGACCTGAAAACATTCATGGGAGAAGTGGGTCCTTGTCAAATGATAGCTTAACCAGAAAAATTTACATAACACTTAAGTTTGAGAACACTTGTGTCTTTCTTTAGCATTCTTGATGGAATTAATATTTGTTTCGTTTTTGATATTTTCCATGAATTTCAACTTCTGGTTCTCTCACACTAAGCCATTATAATAGATTGAAATAATATTTTTTTGAAATCTCTTTCCTTGTTTCTGTACAATTTAGTGTTTTGATTTCTTTGTAAAGTCCACATAATTTGCTCAAGAATTCACAAAAGAATCAGAGTTGTATGGTCTTATATACAAACCATAGTTATTCTTCTTTTCCAAAATATCTCATTCCATTCAATTTTATTGGAATCATAAGGCGTTATAGAACACAGTACAAATGCAGAGTTAGGAAACTATGTAGCAAAAACAAGCCACTATTAATTCTTTAAGTTACTTAAAGCATGTGCAACAATTCATTCTACAGTTTTTCTTTTTCCTTTTTCTCAAGAACGACCAACATTTCTCAGAAGGCCAATAAACCAGGTGGTGCTGGAGGAAGAAGCTGTGGAATTTCGATGTCAGGTCCAGGGAGATCCTCAACCAACTGTAAGATGGAAAAAGGATGATGCAGACTTGCCGAGAGGAAGGTAAGAACATCCTATGGCCTGACGATTCTTAAATAACCACTGAATAATTAGAAACGAGAAAAGACATCTATAGTTCCACCCTCTAATATCTTGGTGTATTATTTTTACACATAATTTTTACATATACAAGCCTCGTACTTGCTGTTTGTATACACTAATATCCTCTATGCTTTTGACATCATTCTTTGAAAATACACATTTCATATCCACCGTTTTATTTGTTATCCTCAAATAGCAAGGATTCCTGAGTTGCTTTCTTTCTCATGACCCTTCTAGATCTAATATTTTGTTCCTGCTGAATTATTGACCATGCACTCCATTTGCCCCTTTTAACTATTGCTCTGTTTCCATTATGCTTCAGACCATATGCTGGAGACCATCTGCCTTCCTTCAGTGCCCAAACATCTCTTACAAAAGGCTACTGAGTATAGCTGACTTTAAAGTCTGAAGCAAAAGAGAAAGACTCAGCAGAGCACTGAAAAGGCAACAACTAGTCTACCTCACTATTGACACAGGGACTTCTGTCACTCTGTCATTTGTCATGTCATCATGGAGACCTTTCTCTTCCATCTTTCTCTTAGTCTTCTTATCACCAAACCTCAAAACCCAATCTCTCCACTCTCCAGGGAAAGTCCAAAAACTCTTGTCACTTTTTATAAAATTTAATTTACCTGTTTTGTTGTCTTCCATCTAAGTAAGGCCTTACCCTTTATGACCAAGTTAATTATTCAAGTTTTTTTTTTTTCCTATACAAATAAGCAATTCTATTAGTATTTGTTTTACCTTCCTCCTAATCCTTCTTACTACCAAAAAACCAATTGTTGTCAAGTCAATTCAGACTCATGACTACCCCATGTGTGTAAGAGTAAAACTGTGCTCCATGGAGTTTTTAATGACTGATTTTTCTAGAAGTAGATCAGTAGGCCTTTCTTCTGAGAAAACTCTGAATGGACATGAAATCTCCAACATTTTGATTAGCAGTTAAGCATGTTAACTCTTCATACCACTCAGGGACTTCTAGTACAATATAGTCTGTATAATATATCGCATCCTGTTGTGTTTTTTCCCCCTCTAGCATCTCTGGTAGCATAGTGCCTAAGGTACTTGACTGCTAACCAGAAGGCTGGAGGTTCAAACCCACCAGCCACTCCTCAGAAGGAAGGTTGGGCAATCTACCTCTGTAGTGATACTGCCTGGGAAACCCAAGGAGGGGTTGCTGTGAGTCTGGTCAGACTTGACAGCACATAAAAACAACAACACTATCTGTCCTTAAAAAAAAAAGAAAGTTTTTTTAAAGTGGTTGAATTGTAGAGATGTGTTGACAAAATTTGTACATATTTTACATACTATTCACTGGCACCACTACTCATAATTCCCTGACTTTCAATATTGATTTCAAAAATCTCAGTTTTTCATATTTCGAAGTCTATTGTGCTATTCTTTCCAAAGTCATAGCATCAACAGCACTGTTTTCAAATGGACCAAACATTTTAAATAGTCAGTGAGAGGTTCTTTGCAAATCAACAGTAAAAAATATAATAATAATTTAGTTATTTTCTGCCTATATAGCAGCAAAAATTACCTCTGCATTTCTTTTTCACTTTGCTGCTAGACAACTAGACATAAAAGTTTATTTTTATCAGGAGGGATTTATGAATGTGAATCTCCTCTTGCCTTCTCAGTGGAGAAGAAATGTCAATTAAAAAACAAAGAGGAAAAATGTTCATTGCAGTATAATTTACAATAGCCAAAAGGTAGAAAAAACCTAGATGTTCATCATCAGATAAACAAATAAACAAAATGTGGTATATATGTACAATGGAATATTACTACTCAGTCATAAAGAGAAACAGTCTTGATATATGCTATAACGTATGAATTTTTCTAACATTATACTACAGGAAATAAGTCAATCTACAAAAGGATAAAAATTGTATACTCTCACTTATCTCAAATATCTAGAATAGGCAAAGGTATAGAGACAGAAATTTATGAGTGGTTACCAAAGGCAAGGGAGAGGAGGTAGGAGGAGTCATTGCTTAAGATGCACTGAGTTTCTGTTAAGGGTGATGGGAAAAGTTGGAAACAGATAGTGTTGATGTTAGCATAACATGATGAAAGTTAGTAATATGTTTAAATTGAACATATAAAAAAAGGTGAAGTAGTAAATTCTGTTTCGGTGTTATATATATTTTTAGCACAACTAAAAAAAAAGTCAAGGAAAATTTACAGAATTGAATTGTTGATGTCCATCCTGCATACGTAATCACCATTTTTTTTTTTTTTTTGGAAATTTTAGCCAACTTAATGGATAATTTTAAAATTTTGGTTTTAGATTAAGAGGTTAATTATATAGTAAAATTAGGTGTAGTGTCAACAGAGGCAAATTTTCAATTTATTGGCCTATTTGACCTTGAAATTTCACTTCTATTTTTTTTTTTTTTATTAGGATTTGG